TCCACCTGACGGAGAGTAATTTTCCCCTCGAAATGAGGTCATAAAATTCCTCCAACCTCCCTAAAAGGAAAAAAGAAAGAAAATAGAAAAAATAAGAGAGAGAGAGAGAGAGAGAGAGAGAGAGAGAGAGAGAGAGAGAGAGAGAGAGAGAGAGAGAGAGAGAGAGAGAGGCAAAGCAAGCGGTTGTCATTTAAACTTTGCGGGAAAAAGTTCTGATGAAACGGCTCCCTCCATTCCCCCAAATCCTACCTTCCCCCATAATGTCAATCCCATCTAAGATAACTCCTACCCTCTCTCTCTCTCTCTCTCTCTCTCTCTCTCTCTCTCTCTCATATATATATATATATATATATAATATATATATATATATATATATATATATATATATATATATATATATATATATATATATATATATATATATATATATATATATATATATATATATATATATATATATATATATATATATATATATATATATATATATATATATATATATATATATATATATATATATATATATATATATATATATATATATATATGCGCTTGCAATGCATTATGAATTAAAGGATATGCATACATACATACATACATACATACATACGTACACATATACATGCCTCATTCCCCCTTGTAAGGTTGGTGGCCGAGCCAAGAAACGTGTATTTACCACGATCCACACATATCCCAACCACTCCTCTCAGCTCCTTGGGGATAAAGGATTGCCGCGTCTCCCCCATTTCACCCAGCTTGGCTTAACCACAAGGTAGGCGGGAAAGGATATTTCACAATGAGACCCGACAGCCACAGCTGGTTTACCCCCACAGCTTCATCACATGGCAACTCCCCTCACACCCGTCAATCACAGTTCACTGAGCTATAATAATAATAATAATAATAATAATAATACTTTATTTCCAACATACATTGGGTATTCAAATATGGGTGTACAATTAAAATTTACAAGTAAAATCTTCCTTTAAGAGTAACTTCTTAAGATTATATTTAAAAGTATACACTGAACCAGCATTTTTTAGTTCTCTGGGAAGCTGATTATATAAATGAGGTCCACGAATGTTTATATCTCTTGAGCCAATATCAGTTTTAGACCTTCGTACTAATAAATCTTCCCCTTGACGGGTAGTTAACCCGGTAACTGAGCTTACTGTGGAAAAATTATACAAGCAATCAGGAATATTGTTTCTTAGTATATTAAAAACAAAGGTACATATATCAAAAACATATTTATCTCTAATCTTTATCCATTCTAGATCTTTTAAAACAGGAGAGATGTGCTCGTATTTTCTTACATTGCCAACAGCCACTCGTGCTGCAAAGTTTTGTAACTTTTGTATTCTTTGTAATTGAGTCTTATTTGTACATCCCCAAACTTTGAGACAGTAATTAATTAAACTCATAGCTAAGGACTGGACAATTATTATACGAGTTGATGTTTCAAATGAGTCTTTTACCCTATTTAGATATATTAGAGTACCCATTACTTTTTTATAAATTTCATCTATATGCATTTCAAAATTCATGTAACGGTCAAAATAGACACCTAGGTTCTTTACCGAGTTCATTGGCTTAATGATATTACCGTTAAAATTTATATGAAGATTGTCATCAACTTCTGATAATAATTGTCTGGATCCGATAAGAATAGATTGGGTTTTAGTTTCATTAAGTAACAGACCATTTTTTAGAAAGTAACGTTTAGCCATATACAAAATTTCTTCTGCTCTACGAATAATATTTTCTAAATCATTAATTTCTCCCTCAATTAAGATTTGAGTATCGTCAGCATATTGAATGACATAACAGTTAGGTAAATATTTTACTAGATCGTTTACATATATTAGAAAAAGTATAGGTCCTAGGATCGATCCCTGAGGGACCCCAAACAATACCTTCTTGGAACTTGAAACTGTATCTTTTATTCTGACTGACTGGTAGCGGTTTTTTAAATAGTTCTCGAACCAGCTTGGGTCAATGTTCATTTTTTTGCATTTTTCTAATAATATACTATGGTTTACACTATCAAAAGCTTTAGAAAGATCGAGTAGTAGTAGCAATGATATTTTCTTATTATCTATATTTTTGTATATTTCATCTGATATTTTCAATAAGGCAGTTTCAGTTGATAATTTTGGCCTGAAACCGTGTTGACTTTTTGCAATAAGTTTATTTTTTTCAAGAAACTCACTTAACTGATTTGCAACAATCTTTTCAAGTATCTTTGATAAAATTGGTAGTAAAGAGATTGGTCTATAGTTAGAGACGTCGTCAGGATTTCCATTTTTAAAACCAGGAATTACATGGGGATTTTTCCATAAATCTGGGTAGATATTGGTAACTATGGAAGTATTGATTATTACCGTCAGATAATAAGCTATTACAAATAATGAATCTCTAATAAAACGAAAACAAATTCCATCTGATCCATATGCATTAGAGTCTTTCAGATTTTTTATTACTAAGATTACTGTATTACAATCTACTGTAGTAGGGTTAAAGACATCAGTACTTCTATTGAATGCACTATGTTCTTCCAAATTTACATTATTATTATTATTGCTACCATCATCACTATTATCATTACCATTACTACCACCATCATTATTATTTACACCATTATCAACATTTCTATTATTATTACTACTACCATCATCATTATTATTACCACCATTACTATTATTGATTTCATTTATTATTTCTTTTTTTGTTTTTTCAAAGGTTTTTTTCCCCACTTCAGCGAAAAAATTATTGAACTCTTCTGCTTTAGCACTTACATCTACCTCATCGGGTATAATTGATATGTTACTACTTTTATTACAGTTATTGGAAAGCATGGTTTTAGCAATTTTCCATGTATCAGAGATATTGCCTTTAGCGTTTTGAAATTCATTTTTGTAATACTGTTTCTTACTGTTACTTAATAATGATTTTACTTGTTTCTTATGCTCTGTAAACTTTTCTCTTAAAGGGATATTATCTCTTTGTAGTTTTACTTCATTTTGTAGTTTGTCTCTTTCTTTCATAATGTTTTTTATGTCATCTGTTATCCAAGGAGCGGGGGGACGAAATATTTCTCTTGTCACGAGTGGTGCACATCGATCTATACATGATGATAAGACACTGGTTAAAATTCTTACTTGTTTATTTATATTATCGGTATATAGAATTTCATTTAATTTATGTACTTCATTCATAAGTAAACTACAAAGTAATTCTTGTGAATAATTTCTTAAGCATCTGAATGTTTTAAAGATTGGTTGTCTCTTTGGTTTGCGAATATTTAGGGACGTTACAATTTCCTCGTGGTCTGCTATAGGGCTTGGCATTACGTCACACTTAGTTATCATATGTTTGGAGTTTGTTATTACTAGATCGATTTGGGAAACTGAAGTGGGAGTGATTCTAGTTGGTTTATTTATAATCTGTTCTAGATTTAAATTCTTAATAAGTCTACTCATTTTATTTTCTCTTTTTAGTTGATCATCATTAAAATCGCCATATATAAAAACTGGTTTGTTTTTTAAAATTATCTCCTTAAAAACGTCCAAAATATAGCTAAAGGAGGTTACCGAGGCTTTGGGGTGGCGGTACACGCAGCCTATGATAATAGAAGGAAACTTTTTATGTTGGACAGAGATCCATTTATCTTCCACTCCTTCGTGCTTCTCAGTTTCAAGATTTAGTTCAGTGGCCTTCAAATAATTTTTAACATATAAACATACACCTCCACCTCTACCACTGTCATAGCGATAAATATTATATGAAGGAATATTAATAAATGCATTATTAATTGACGGATACAGCCATGATTCGCTAATGCAAAGAACATCAATATTTTCTTGTACAAGCTTATGTTCAATTTCTAGTATATGGGATAACAGGGATTGTGCATTTATATGTACGACAGATAATCTATCATTATATTTACAAGTAACTTTCACATCGACAGCAGTAACAGCAACAGCAGGAGACGAGGTATTACCATGTTTCATTGGGGTGGTATCCATAGTCATAGTTGTAGTTTCGACTGTATGATTCTGCTGGGAATTCATCATTGTAGTGTGTTCTGGGGTTAGCCCATGGATCCTGGTGTCTGTACCTGCCGTTGGATGTGTAATGCTGGTTTGAGTACGTGCCGTGGTATGATCGGGCCTTCCCAAAGTTTGTATGCCTAGGTGAGTGTCTAGGGTTGTAAGAGCCATCACTCCAGGAGAAGTCTCTTGTGCTTGGACGGCGATAAGAGAGGTTTGTATCGTGTCTCTTTCTGTAGTCTCGCATATAGGGGATTGTTCCATTTGCTCTTTGCTGTTTATTTTGGTATGACCATTGTTTGCTCCCACGAAATGGCTGGACACTTGTGCCTGTAGGCCATTGATTCAGTTTGTAAGGCACATATTCAAATCCTTTCGATATCGTTATTGCGAAGGAAACCCAGTTTGGTGTGCGATAAAGCTCCTTAATCAAGACTTCTTCAGAAGGAATGCCTTGATTTGTCAGTGTATTACGTATCTCTCTCTCAAAGGGGTTGCCAGGAATGCGAATATATATTTGAGCTGTAACCCTTGCACTTGCATTATTTGGCAACTGTGGCTGTGGGGGAGAGGACTTCGATGGAATGTTTAGAGTAGAGATTGCTGCTATTTTGTCTTTTCTGTTTTCTTCATTGTTTCGCAGTCTATTGCTGGGTTGGTTATTTGTGCTGGAAGATATAATTTGGGTGTCCTGGTTAGTGACAGTTGCTGTGTTGTTAGGAGTAGTGGAGATTGACTCTATATCTTCTTTGGGCCGCGTCATAAATGCACAATCTTCCTCCACTTATTCCTATCTCTTGCACGCACTCTTCCCTGTTCCACTGACATTCCACATGCAATATATATATATATATATATATATATATATATATATATATATATATTATATATATATATGTGTGTGTGTGTGTGTGTGTGTGTGTGTGTGTGTGTGTGTGTATTGCAGCCGTGGCTGAGTGATAAAGCACACGATTTTGATTCGTCAGGTCGGTAGTCGGTTCGAGACCCACTAGAGCCTAAGGTCAATAACGGCATACACTGAGAATAGCGATCGCACTAGCTCAAACCAAAGTCCTACGCAAGAAGGCACCGTTCTAGCCCTTAATGGAAGGTCTCAGCAGATTATCATGGAGAAAATTGTTAAAAGTGGTTTATGTAAAAAAAATAAAAAATACCAAACTTCATCAAATACTTATTACAAACTTACCAAAAACTATAAACTTTGTAATGCTGTTACAACCAGATTGCGATATTTTGTGGAAGATGTTCATCCTCTTTTACGGGATGAAGGAGGAATCTTTAAAGATAACTTAATTTTGTTAAGCAACCCAGTTTTAATGCGTTACTGAATCTAGTTTTACATATTAATTTATGTGAAGCTCATGTGTGTGTGTGTGTGTGTGTGTGTGCATGCGTGTGTGTGTGCATGTGGGTGTGCGTGCATAGCAAAATAACATGAAAATAGATAGTAAATGACTAACTTTACGCGAAGTCAGATGCAGTTAAAGGTGTTTGGTCTTCGCGTATGGAAATAAGGACATGAACTAATATATAGCTTATATGCTAAAATAGTGAAAATCATTCACGATTTATTGCTTTGCGTGTTTATAAATATAAATGACGAAATAAATAGAATGTTTTAAGAATATTCTTATAAATATGCAGCTCATGTAGAAATCAGAGGTAAATGAAGCTATCAAACTTCTTTGAAGTAACGTCCTCTGATCCTGAATGAGTCAAGAAAAAAAAATTGGAAACCAAGAGAGAATTACCTTAAGTTATCCTTTCCTATCTGAATTACGTTGACTACTTACTTGGGTTTGTGGGTTTAAGTCTACCTACTACGCATTACACTGAAATAATAGACACATCCTTATATACCTGTACAAAATATTTGCACAGACAAGATGCAGAGAAATAAAGCTACATCAAGAGACATTTAAATTTGAGCACAAATAGTCTCATAGAAATATAATAGATATATGTGGAATAATAACATATATATACATACATACATACATACATGCATGCATGCATGCATGCATGCATGCATGCATGCATACATACATACATACATACATACATACATACATGCATACATGCATACATGCATACATGCATACATGCATACATGCATACATGCATGCATGCATGCATGCATGCATGCATGCATACATACATACATACATACATACATACATACATACATACATACATACATACATACATACATACATACATACATACATACATACATACATACATACATACATACATACATACATACATACATACATACATACATACATACATACATACATACATACATACATACATACATACATACATACATACATACATACATACATACATACATACATACATACATATATATATATATATATATATATATATATATATATATATATATATATATATATATATATATATATATATATATATATATATATATATATATATATATATATATATATATACATACATATATATATATATATATATATATATATATATATATATATATATATATATATATATATATATATATAGATATAGAGAGAGAGAGAGAGAGAGAGAGAGAGAGAGAGAGAGAGAGAGAGAGAGAGAGAGAGAGAAGAGAATGACTTCATGGCGCTCTTGTTAGGTGACCATCTAAAATATTTCATATCCCTCCATCACATTCTGGTCTTGAGTAAAAGATCCCACGATAATATATACGAAATATATATCTGCTTCCCTGATGCCAGGAATGCTCTTTATATTGTCAAGTTCTCCAGGCATCTAAATGCTTCAACCTTCATAGTACTAACTACTTTATGAAGCATTGTTGTATCTATCTATCTATCTATCTATCTATCTATCTAAATGTTCTCTATATTACCAAGTTCTCCAGGCATCTGAATGCTTCAACCTTCATAGTACTAATTACTTTCTGAAGCGTTTTTGTATCTATCTATCTATCTATCTATCTATCTATCTATCTGTATATATATATATATATATATATATATATATATATATATATATATATATATATATATATATATATATATATATATATATATATATTACATGAAGGCTGCGGGGTGCTTGCCATTGCTTTTACTGATGTCCGAGTTTGTAAATATGCTATTTTGGCTCTTGATTCCACATATCTAATAGTGTACTCACTGTGCCTGCTGACTTAACAGGGGCTATGCCGTACAAGGAACAACACCAGCCCCTTCTCATGTTAAAGTAGCTTTAGCGATAGAGTGGATCCTGACTCATTAGGGAGACTTTTTGCTTTGATGCCAGGCCTGAAGTACCAGAAGGTTATAGGCTTCACAGTTTCTCAATTAACTCCCTCTTCAACTTCATCTCTGTCTAACTTTGCACTGGAGAGTTAAAGACTGTTGAACTGTAAGTGGGGGAAGCTGGAAAAATTATAAATTCAAAACCGCATTCATTCCTTGACTGGATAATATAAAATAATACTAAAATATACCCTATGGCAACTTAATCGGATATCTATCAGAGCATAATATACTTTTTTATGTTTTTCTAACTGAAATAAATAAGATCAGAATATATACATAAAACAGATATACAAATGCATATTCAATTCGGATTTTTTTTAATTCTTTAACTTAAGTAATGCATTACGAACATCTTTCCGGGCATTGGAAAAGAAATGCTATATTGAGGAAGTTTTGCACATGTCATAACATACCCACAAGACACGTGTCCTATGCATTTGAAAGCTAAATACTAACTCACGTCTTCATTTACTTATCTATTAATTCATTAATTCATTTATTTCAACTAATCAATTCATTTATTTAAGTCCTTGCTTTCGACCTACGAACATTATTTCACTTATTTGAGAGCTTGCCTTCGACCTACGAACATTATTTCATTTATCTGAGTCCTGGCCCTCGACCTACGAAGGGAGGATCTTGCAGCTGCATAAGCATGCAAATTTTTTTTATTTGTGTCTGCCTGTCCAGTTTCCAGAAAGAACACGTGAATGAGTCTATGGGAGTAGATGAGTCAGCATATGCTAAAGAAGACAAGAGGAGGACATAAGGTACAATATCTACCAAGTTAAAAGGTTATTTGGTACATTTGCAATAAAGTTTGTGGAGCAAACAAATGTTGTCGTACCCTTTGACGTACAATAGACGAACATGAGTTCATTTTACATTGAATGCGGATGAAGATGGCTAACTTCATCAGATACGACCATGTCGTAAGTAAGGATACAAAATAGAAATTACGAAATAAGGATATGAAAGGGATAGAAAATCTATAACAGTGAACCATCAACGTCCATATTCAATTAACAACTTTATAAAATTGTAAAAGTTGAATATAGGAAAATATATAATATATAGAAACTAATATATTTAAATGCAACAAAGTAACAAATAAGTAAGAAAATGGTTTAAGTATATAAATTACACTTTTAAAAGCAATATATCGGATATTACAGATATATACATACATTCATGTATATATGTTCAGAAATATTTATGTAATTAATGAGAGGCCAAAGTTTGAATATGCAGCACCCATTGAAATCCCCAATTGTAAATCTATATAAATAAACTGGAAAAAGACAAAATATACGGCACGAAAATGAGCCAGAAATACACAATCTCAGTTTTGAGGAGAGGCTGAGAGAATTAGACTCACCATCACTTGAAACTAGAAGCATGGCGAGGGATATGGTGACGGTTTCTAAATTCGTTTATGGTATTATCACAATGGATAGAAATCGATATTTTGATATGGTTGTTTCTAGAACTAGAGGTCGTAGTTTGAAGTTCAGTACAAAAAAGCTTCTTCGCACGATGTAAGGAAGTGCTTTTTAGCATAAGAATAGTTGATGACTGGAAATCGCTAAGCGAGGAAGTAGTTAATGCTAACTGCATGTATAGTTTTAACAACAAATATGATAAGTCTTATCGAGTATAAAAATGGAACCGACCAGGAGACGGAGAGCTGTAACCACAGGGCTCTTTCCCGAAAGCACAAATTGGTAATTGCAATTAGGTAATTATAAACAAACGAGACGATTACTGGGTAAATTTCAAGAAGATTAAGTGGCTGAATGCTATTAAAGAAAATGTCTAATGAGACATTAACATCGTGCCGACACCATTATTTTTTTTTTCTATGATTGTGACACCAGGACGGGCCAAAAAATAAAATAAAATAAAACAGCCCCCACCGAGCCTGGGCACGAAGAATACATTAAGTAAAAAGTAAAAGAGATGGAGAGTGTAATGACTTGTCAGAAGTGAAGGGATAATAAGAGGTTTGTAATGAATATCCAAGAATATTCAGTGTTGATGTAGGCATAAAATATAACCGTAACTGAAGGAAGACTTAACATCGAACTGCCCCGGACAGTCCTATTCAAGTTTAAAAATCCTTCAGCTGTAGTATCGCAATGGGCGGCTGTGCCATGGGCCAACCTATTATAAAATATTCACAAAACTAATGCCAGTAAAAAAAAATATGAAAAATATGGAAGAAAATTTAAGGGGGAGAATAAAATATAATTCAACTGAAATAAAAATAAAGGAGGGGAGATACTGGCATGAGGCGAGAAAATATGAAATCATAAAAATGTAAGAAAAAATGAATAATATTAAAGAGATAAAAGTTGCACAGCCTCCAATTCAACTTACATCTTTCAGAAAAATACTCATTAATCAATACATTGAGAAAAGGAAAGGAAGTTATTTTGAGGATCTACAACACGATATTTTCGCTATTTTTGTCCATCTTAACAAAATGGTCGAAATGAAAAAGTTAATATTCTTACATAAGACTGAATGACAGAAATCCGAAATAGGAGTCTTCAGAGATGAAGGAAATAAAACCTATTTCTCTGAAATTTGGATATTATTCTCTGTAAACACACAAACAAGAGAGAGAGAGAGAGAGAGAGAGAGAGAGAGAGAGAGAGAGAGAGGAGAGAGAGAGAGAGAGAGAGAGAGAGAGATT